TTGAACATGAGCCAGCAATGTGTCCTTTCAGCCAAGAAGGCTAATGGTATCCTGGGCTGCATAAGGCAAAGTGTTGCCAGCAGTTCAAGGGAGGTTCTCCTTCCCCTCTACTCAGTACTGCTGAGGCCACATCTGGTATGGCGTGCTGTATGCAGTATTGGGTTCCCCAGTACAAGAGACCGATGGCACTATTGGAGACAATCCAATGAAGGCCCATGAAGATGATGAACAAACTGGAGCATCTCTCCTATGAGCAGAAGCTCAGACAGCTGGGATGAAGAAGAGGCGGCTTGGGAAGGGGATATCATTAATGTGTATAAATACCCGAAGGGAGAATGTAAAGAAGACAGAGCCAGGCTCATTTCAGCAGTGCCCAGTGATAGGACAAGAGGCAATGGGCACAAACTGGAACACAGGAAGTTCTTTTTGAACATCAGGAAAGACCTTTTTTTCCTGTGAAGGTAGTGGAGCACTAGAACAGGTTGTCCAAAGAGATGGTGGAGTTTCTCTCCTTGGAGATATTCAAAAACTGTCTGGATGTGTTCCTGGGTAACTGGCTCTAGGTGACCTTGTTTGAGCATGGGGGTTGGACCAGATAGCCTCTAGCAGTCCTGTCCAACCTCAGACATTCTTTGATACTGTGAATTAGATTTATAGCATCTATTCCTTATTTGTAGTATCTATTCTATCTATAATCCAATATATTTGATTTATATCTTCAAGTCTCAAGCCTGATTAAGTACGATGTCAAATATTTGTTATATTCTCAGATGAAAAGGATATCTCAAAGATAGCAGCAAACCACATTAATGGAGCATTCTCAGGGGATCATTAGAAAAACTAGGAATGCTAAGAAAATTATTTTGAGATGAGATACTATAGGTTAGATGCAGAGTTTTTTTGGTTGTTTATTTGAATTTCATTGGTATACTTGTATTAATATAGCTATATCATAACTCTTCAAATAAGAGGAGTGACATAAGAGTTTTATATAACCATGTAACTTGACTAATTATATCTACAAGCATTGTAAATTGCTTTCTGAAGTATGTTTTTTACTGGTTAATTTATGGCAGTGCACACTTAATCAAGCCTTATGGTGTGGTTTCTTTATCAGCCACTGGTGCTGCAACCACCATCTATGCAGTTGAGGCAGATGGTGACCCAAATACCGGGTTTGAAAAGTCAAAGGAGCTAGGAGAAGTACAGTATCTAATTAAATGGAAAGGTTGGTCACACATCCATAATACTTGGGAAACTGAGGAAACACTGAAGCAACAAAACGTTAAAGGAATGAAGAAACTAGATAACTATAAGAAAAAGCATCAGGAAACAAAACGCTGGTAAGTATTTTTATAACTACTTCCATGTTGCATACTTTTTGTAACAATGTAGATGTTTTATTGTGTTTCTGTGAGTTCTATTGCCTCTTTGTAAAGGCATAGTTTCAAATGCCTATACAACAGGAAGATAAAAGCACTGAAGTTGAAGCTTCACTAACACCTTATCCTGTAAGACTATCAGCATATCAACTTGACTTGGGCAAGTGAAAATACCCACACATGTTGTAAAATCATGCCTTTAAGGAAGCAGCTTTTGCACCTAGATTTTAATGTGTCTGCTATAAATGAATTTTTAATAAGATGAGTGGTGGGTTTTCTGGCCTTGTTTTAAATCTTTCCTTTTACTAATTTTGTCATTGATTTTATTTTGATCAGAGTTCTTCAGGGATTTCTGCAGACACTAAAATTAAAAAAAGAGAAATGGTTAAACAGTTAAACCACTCAAAACATTACAACATTTAATTTTATAGAATCATAGAATGGTTGGGGTTGGAAGGAACCTTAAAGATCATCTAGTTCCAACCCCTCTGCCATGGGCAGGGACACCTCCCACTAGACAAGGTTGTGCAAGGCCCCATCCAACCTGGTTTTGAACACCTCCTCCTGTGATGGAGCATCCACAACTTTCCTGGGCAACCTGTTTCAGTGCCTCACCACCCTCAGAGTGAAGACCTTCTTTACATCTAATCTAACTCTACCCTCTTCCAGTTTGAATACGTCACCCCTTGTCATATCACTATAAGTCCTTATAAAAAGTCCCTCACCAGCTTTCCTGTAGGCCCCTTCAGGTACTAGAAGGCCACCATAAGGTCTCTCCCCAGGGCCTTCTCATTTCTAGACTGAACAACCCCAACTCTCTCAGGCTGTCCTCATAGGAGAGGTGTTCCCTCCCTCTGATCATCTTTGTGGCCCTCCTCTGGACCTGCTCCAACAGGTCCATGTCCTTCTTGTGTTGGGGGCTTGTTTTGCCAATGGCTAGGCCTAACAGGAATGACACAGACAGCAGGAAGTGGATTGTATGAGTATAGAAAGGACAATCCATGGACAGTTGCTGGGGGTACAAAAAAAAAAAAATCAATCAGTTCACAAGCAATTGACATTACCCCCAACAAAGACATCATCCAACCAACAATAGGCAGAACAAACAAACAACCAACCAACCAAGGCCTCCCATAGATGGAATAGGAAACAGCCAGATCAAGGAGCTAAATAGATAAGGTAAAGGTAGCCACAGGATCAGCTCTCACCCTCCCAGCCCATGTTTACAAAGGTCCAAGCTGACCAGGGCTCAGTTCCAGGGAGAGTCAAGAGGTCCTTCCTCAACCAAGAAACTCTGTGAAGTACATCCACATCACAGACAGACACCCCTCCCTTCCTGCAAGTGGTCCCAGCTTTTATCCCCAAGCGGGACACCTGACCTTTGGTTACTTAATGCAGGACACCTGGGGCTCATTTCCCTTATGGCTCTCCCTGCAGGGCTGGCCGCACCCTGGGGGAAGCTAAAAGGTAAGCTCACCCCCTCTTTGTGAAGGACTGTGGGAATCATCCATATGTCAACCTTAATTTGGGGGCTTGGGGTTCAAACCCTAGCATTTCAGGGCTCCAGATCTGAATGCAGTACTCCAGGTGAGGTCTCACGAGGGTGGAGTAGAGGGGGAGAATCACCTCCCTCAACCTGCTGGCCACGCTGCTTTGGATGCAGCCCAGGATATGGTTGGGGCTTTCTGGGCTGCACTTGCACATTGTTGGCTTACGTTGAGGTTTTCATCTACTAGCACCCCCAAGTCTTTCTTCTCAGGACTGCTCTCAATCCATACTCCGCCCAGCCTGTATTTGTGCTTGGGATTGCCCCAACCCTGGTGCAGGACTTTGTACTTGGCCTTATTGAACTTCATGAGGTTGGCATGGGCCCACCTCTCAAGCCTGTTCACGTTCCTCTGGATAGTATCCCTTCCCTCCAGCATATTGACTGCACCACACAGCTTGGTGTTGTCTGCAAAGTTGCTTGAGGGTGCCCTCATTTCCACTGTCCACATCACCAACGAAAATGTTAAACAGCACTAGTCCTAGTACTGATCCTTGAGGAATTCCATGCCTCATTGGTCTCCGCTTGGACATGGAGCCATTGAACGAAATTCTTTGAGTGCGGTCATCCAGCCGATTCTTGGTCCATCCATCAAATCCATGTCTCTCCAACTTAGAGACCAGGATGTTGTGCAGGACAGTGTTGAATGCTTTGTATGAGTCCAGGTAGGTGACGTCAGTTGCTCTTATCCACCAATGCTGTAACTCCATCATAAAAGCCCACCAAATTTGTCAGGCTGAAATGCTGGGGTCTGAACCCTGAGCCCCCAAATGAAGGTTGACATATAGGTGATTCCCACAGCCCTTCATATAGAGGTGGTGAGTTTGCCTTATAGCTTCCCCCCAGGGTGCGGCCGGCCCTGCAGGGAGAGCCATAAGGGAAATGAGCCCCAGGGGTCCCGCAATGAGTCAACAAAGGTCAGGTGTCTGCTTGGGGATAAAAGCTGGGACCACTTGCAGGGAGTCAGGAGTGTCTGCTCTGTGGAGTGCACTCCATGGAGCTTCCTGGTTCAGGGAAGACCTCCTGACCCTCCCTGGAGCTGGGCCCCAGTCTGCTTAAGACCTTTGTGAGTGCGGGCTGATCGGGTGAGAGTCACTATGTGGTCACCTTTCTCTTATGTGTTCAGCTTGCTGGTCTGGCTGTTTCCCGTGCCAACTGTGGGCAACCTCGGGTCTCTGTTTATGCCACCTGTTATGGGCTGAGTTACGTCCTTTGTGAGATTGTTGGGGGTAGCGTCAATTATGTACCAGCTGATTGATCTGTTTGTACCCCCAGCGATCATTCTTGCAATGTCCTTCTTGTCTACAACACAATCTGTGTATTGGTTCATCTTCCTGCTGGTGGTATCATTTTTGTTGGGCCTGGTCATTGGTAAAACACAGGCATGATCTGCCCTTGATGAAGCCCTGATGGTTGCTACCAGTCACCTCTGTGTGGTGTGCTCTAGCAGAGCCTTCGGGAGGATCTGCTCCGTAATCTTGCCATGTGCAGAGGTGAGACTGAGTAGTCTGTAGTTGCTTGGGTCTTCTTTTTTTTCCCTTTTTGAAAAATGGGGGTTATGTTTCCCCTTTTCCAGTCAGTGGGAACTTCAGCAGACTGACAGGACTTCTCAAATATGATGGAAAGCGGCTTAGTTACTTTATCCGCCAGTTCCTTTGTGACCCACAGATGGACCTGGCTGGGTCCCATGGATTTGTACATCCTCGGGTTCTTTAGATGGTCTCGAACCTGATCTTCACTTAGAGTGGGCGGATCTGCCTTCTCCCAGTCCCTGCCTTTGCCTTCTGCAAATTGGGTGGTGTGGCTGGAGCCCTTGACAGTGAAGACTGAGGCAAAGAAGCTGTTGAGTACATCAGCCTTCTCCATATCCCTTGTGACCAGGTCTCCTGTTTCCTTCCAGAGAGGGCCCACATCTCCTCTAGCCTTCCTTTTATCATTGACATACCTGTAGAAATGTTTCTTGTTACCCTTGATGTCCCTGGCCCAATTCAATTCTATCTGGGCTTTGGCTTTCCTAACCTGATCCCTGGCTGCTCGGACAACTTCTTTGCATTCCTCCCAGGCCGCCTGTCCTTGGTTTCACTCTCTGTAGACTCTCTTTTTGCTTCTAAGTATGTCCAGGAATTCCTTGTTCATCCACACAGGCCTCCTGGCATTTTTGCCTGTTTGGAGGATGTGGTCCTTAAATATTGACCAGCTTTCTTGGACCCCTCCAGGGCTTTATCCCATGGTTCTCTACCAAGCAGATCCCTGAAGAGGTTCAGGTCTGCTCCCCTGAAGTCCAGGGTAGTGAGCTTGCTGCGCACCCTCCTTGTTGCCCTAAGGATCTTGAATTCCACCATTTTGTGGTCACTGCAGCCAAGGCTGCACTTGAGCTTCACATTAGCCACCAGCCCCTCCTTGTTGGCTCAAAATTCTGTTAAAGCCTCAGAATGAAGAAGCAAAAAAAATCCTTATGTTTTAGTGCTATGTTTTGGTATTCTATTTTATTGCTATGTTTAATATCATCTGTAAATAGTGGTTGGAGTTTTAGTGACACCTACTCTTAATATAGTTTCTTATAGTGAGCCATCAGTGCTGTTCTGTGAAAATATCATGTGAAGTGCACTACTCATTGTTTAGAACAGATATTGTAAATGATATGCATGACTAGTACAAGCTGGAACTGATATTAATGTCTCTTGATAAGTTTTCTCAGTCATCAGTGATGAGGTACTTATGCCAGATGGAACACTTTTATAGTAGGAATTTCAGAGTTGTAGCTTCTTCAGAGAAGCTCTCTAAGCAGCATTCCTATGGTGCTTACATTCAGAGCTTTAAAATTGCCAAATTTTCTTAATTTTAGAACTATGCAATGTACTAAGTCCTGCAAATATATTCCCATTTCAGGTTGAGAAATGCTTCTCCGGAAGACGTGGAATATTATAACTGCCAGCAGGAACTTACAGATGATTTACATAAACAGTATCAAATAGTGGAAAGGATAATTGGTACGTGACAAACTTCCAGATGGAAAACAGCACTGAGAATATTACAAGCTTATTGCTTGCATGTTGAATTTAGTTAAGAAATTTACCTTATTAATATCCCTAATAGCTTAAGGCAAAGTCTGTAATGAAGAGAAAAGTTGTTATACTGTCTTTGCTGTGAAACTAGTTCATGGCGTCTTCTCACCTAAAATGAACGCTTTATAAAATACAGAAGGAAAATATTGATCTGGTATATCTGATGTGTTTCTGCAGCTCACTCAAATCAGAAATCGGCAGCTGGTTATCCAGATTACTATTGCAAATGGCAGGGTCTGCCTTACTCAGAATGTAGCTGGGAAGACGGTGCTCTCATTGCCAAAAAATTTCAAGCATGTATTGATGAGTATTTTAGCAGAAATCAATCCAAGACCACTCCATTTAAGGACTGCAAGGTGAGTGTGTAATTTCAATGGATTTATGCAGTTGCAATGCTAAGAAAAAAATGACGTATTTTACGCATTCAAAAATAAGATGCATATTATAAAATATTTTTGAATGTTTTCCAGGAGAGTAATAATGATAGCTGTATTTATATATGTAGCAAGTACCACTTAAAAATAGCCTTTTGTAGATATTTGTTCCCTTGTTATTTTATTGCCATTCAAAGATGGAATTGTTTAGTACTTTAATTTGTTTTAAAATTAACCTTTGTGAATGAGTTCATGTCACTTCTGTTGTGGAATTTAGGTCAGCAGTCAAACTAATTTTAGATTGCAAATTGGTTCATATTGTTATATGGTCTAGTTGTCTGTGATGAATAAAGATTAGACTTGATGACCAAACTGATTCCTATTGCTACTTTGTTTCTATAAGAAGATATTTTGGTAACTTCACTTAGTAGCAGGACTGATGCTCAATTTGGTTTTGACAGATTCTAAAACAGAGGCCAAGATTTGTTGCACTAAAGAAGCAACCATCTTATATTGGAGGAAATGAGAGTTTAGAGTTAAGAGATTATCAGTTAAATGGTCTGAACTGGCTTGCGCACTCATGGTGCAAGTAAGTATAATCTTAAATTAGTCCTGCAGGTTTTAGTTGGAAATCATTTATACATTTATTTATTTATTTTTTGTTTTTTTTAGAGGGAATAGTTGTATTCTTGCAGATGAAATGGGTCTGGGTAAAACAATACAAACAATTTCTTTTCTGAACTACCTGTTTCACGAACATCAACTATATGGGCCTTTCTTGCTAGTCGTGCCACTTTCTACCTTGACATCTTGGCAAAGAGAGATTCAAACTTGGGCTCCTCAGATGAATGCTGTGGTTTACTTAGGAGATATAACTAGCAGAAATATGGTGAGTATTTCTTTGTATCATTGAAAAAAATTAGTGATAAAACTCACTTCATGTTCCTGTCTTATGCTAATCTCCAGTATTTTGGTTAGGAATGAGCAAATATTTAAACATTGTATGTGTTCAAAATGAAAATTAAAAGGGTAAATTTTGATCCAATATAAATGTATGTGAAAGATTTAATTCCTGCTTAATAATAAAAAGGATTAAAAATGAAACCTTGTATTTGAAAATAAATTATTTTGTCATGGGATTATTTAGTTGCATAAAATAAATATTTAAACCAGACAGACATAATCTTAATTTGTTTTCTGAAAGGAGGAATGTAAGTAAACTTTTGTAAACTTTTTTTTTTCCCCCCATTAAAGTTTAAAAAAAAAACCCCACAAAACAAAAATCCACAAAAACCCAACAAACCCTCCCACCACTGCTTAATAACTTGGAAAAAAACCCCCAAACCTTAACATTTTATGTTCCTTTTTCATGGTCAGATTCTCATATATCACTTAATATCTATGTTGCTGTAGTACCTGAAGTCATCCTGATCAATAAGACCATTTTTCTCTAGCTTATAGTTGACTTGATTCTTCTTGTAGATAAGAACTCATGAATGGATGCATCCACAGACCAAGCGATTAAAATTTAATATACTTCTAACAACTTATGAAATTTTGCTGAAGGATAAGGTAATCACACTTACTTTTTCAAGGAGCTAAAATATTTTGTAGAACGTAAAACTCCTTTCGAGTTGGCATGTATTTGGGTTTCTGGGCCATTAAATGGGTGGGGAATATGACAGTGAAGTTCTCTTTAAGCACTTTTAGATTTTATGTATGTATGGTGAGGCTTTCTGCATCCTCCCTTCCCCTCCATATTGAGTGGGTAAATTTTTTTTTTTTTTTTTTTTTCTTCAGTTTGCTTGAGCTTCACATTACTGTAGTAATTTCTTTGCATGTCAAAATCTCAACTTTCCTGTTAGACCATTATCCAGGAACTGAAAAAACAAACCAGCTCCTGGCCCCAAACACTTGTGATTCACAACTCTGAAATCCCATGTTTTATCTTTGTATTTGTGTGTGCAGTATTATGTATTTGTATATTATTATTTTCTTCGTGATGGTAGCACATTGGGTTATTGTTAATCCTAACAGCATATGAAAATTTTAATTTAACAATTTCTGCTTGTTGACTTTCTATGTCATTTGTTTGTACGTGCTGGAAAGTAGAGTCAGTAGTGGAGTATTGGGTTTTTTTTTGGTCAATTGAAAATTTATAGATTAGCTTTTTGCCTTTTGTCCTCCTCCTCCAAGTATAAACTTGTTTTATACTTTCCTTTTAAACCTACAAAGCCTGCATAGCCTTTTGTTGAATCTAGCAAGCATAAAAACCATAATTAATAATAAAAACACATAGGTGTCCATTTGTTATTAAAATAAAAAGAGTGATGGTGTATATATAACCTCATGTAAAATGTCAGAAATTGCATAATATATTAACTTGTATAATGTCTTTCCCCCAATTTCTTTAAGTCATTCCTTGGTGGTCTGAATTGGGTATTTATAGGAGTTGATGAAGCTCATCGTTTAAAAAATGATGATTCCCTTCTATACAAGACTTTAATAGACTTTAAGTCTAATTATCGTCTTCTTATTACTGGAACCCCTCTGCAAAACTCCCTCAAAGAGCTTTGGTCTTTGCTGCACTTCATCATGCCAGAAAAGTAAGGAATGTGTGGGTTTGTTTTTTTTTTTTTTTTTTTTTTTTTTTTTTTTTTTTATCAAGTTTCTTACGGTGAAATAACGTAGCAATTGGAGGATCAACAGAGATAAAGAATTGCATTGTGAAATCGTTTAAATATTTTATATAAAATAGTTGCACATATTTTTCACATCGATAAATTGTTTTGGTAGCAGTTGTCACTTTTTCTGTTTTAGCAGTCACAAAAAAGATAGATTGATGTAGGCTCAGAACCCCTAAAAGATGCTTCATCTTAATCTAAAAGGAAAATCACATGGATTTACTCTAGGGAAATAGAATGGGGCTGAGGATGTCTTCTATGTTAGTACCATGAATGAAAACAAGGTTGTAGTACAATGCCCAATATCCAGTAGTTCAGTCAGGCAGCCAGTTTGCCTTTATGGTTTGCATAGAATAGGTTTGCTGTTTTGACATTATTCTATACTGACCTCTGTTTATATCTGGGATAAATAAGAGCACGTGTTCCTTTTGGATATCTTGTAAATACAAAGTACTGTAGCTCAAATTAGTTTCAGAGCTATGCATTGCATTGATTTCTTCAGAACCTCACAAGCAAAGCCACTAAGGTTGTTGTCTGGCATCTATTCTTCATTTGATCACAAAGTCCATTCTCTTAATCTGTTAGCACATACCAGAGGATAATCAAATTTCAGCTAGTCCGTGCAACTGTGAAAGATATGTGAAGCAGTCTGTTCTCTTGCACTTCCTCCAGCTACACAGCTATTTTTTCATGCCGCTCTTGAGAAATATATTGGAATTTCTGCAACCTTCTACCTGAATTTCCATACAGAGAAGTAAAATGTTTGGTTTTCACTGGAGAAATTGAAATTCAGTAGTTTGGTTTGAATTTTCATTCTGCAAAATTTCCATTCTCCTATTTACAGACAATACTTGGGATTTCTTGTGAGATAAAAATTCAGAAACTTATTGAAATAGAGGGGAGGGGGGAAGAAGTCCATATGTGTTTGTACGCATGTGGTATATTTATGGTCTTTGTGTGTCTGTGTTCATGGTATGTCACTATTTTACATTTATTCTTTTATGTTGAAGGTTTTCTTCCTGGGAAGATTTTGAAGAGGAGCATGGCAAAGGGAGAGAGTTTGGTTATGCAAGTCTTCATAAAGAACTTGAACCATTTCTACTCAGAAGAGTTAAAAAAGATGTAGAAAAGTCTTTACCTGCTAAGGTTGAACAAATTTTGAGGATGGAAATGAGTGCATTGCAGAAGCAATATTACAAGTAAGTAATGACACTTTTTAATTACTGCTATTTTAATGACATATCTGTATGAAAATTTCTGAAGTGTAATAGTTCTCATAATGCAATTTGAACTGATGTTTTAAGAGCTTACATCCTTTGTATTTCCACGAATGGTTAGGAATTACTTCCATTGCACATTCTGTATCATAGGTGGATTTTAACCAGGAATTATAAAGCCCTGAGTAAAGGTTCAAAAGGCAGTACCTCAGGCTTTTTGAATATCATGATGGAACTCAAGAAGTGTTGTAACCATTGCTACCTTATTAAACCACCAGATGATAACGAGTTCTATAATAAACAGGAGGCCTTACAGGTAATACCTTTTTTCTTTTTTTTTTTTTTAAATTGTTTTTACATCTCTAATATGGACACAGTAATTTTGTAGTGTTGTGGAAATGTCTTAGTTCTTATTAAAATATTTTAAAAACAAATTCTCTGTTAAATGTGCATCCTGGCTTTTACAGGTAAGTGAATTGATTAATTTTTTTGTTTCTTAACTAGAACTGAATAATAGAGAGAGCAATACTGAATAAAATATCCCTGGCTTGAATTATGATCAAAATAAAAAAGAAATAGTTTGAAATGGTCTGTGTATTTTCAGACTTTCACCACAAAGGTTAAATAATCTCTGTACTAAAACTGTCGAGAACCACAGCAACCAATAAAAGGGCTGTTATAACTGATGCAGTTTATAACAACATAAATGTTTCTAAAGATCAGGGTTATTTTTCTGTAAGCTTTAAAGTTCATAATTTAAATACTTTCCCAAAACTACTAGATTGAAATTACAAGATGTCACTGCACAAGCTATTTTATATTATAAAGTGCTTATCAAAGCTAAAGGATGTTTCATTTGCAACTTGGCACACTAACAACATTTATAATTAAACCCATTAGAACTGTTTAGCCATTATTGCTTATAATTGCATACTTTGTAACAGTTATTTTCTTGGCTCATCTGAATAAGCTTTGTTAGCTCTAATTATGAATGATACAGCCTTCTAATTTCTGGCATAAAGAATAAAAGCCCCAACTCAAATTTTTTTTTATTCCCCAAAATTCTATCCTGAGCCTCTTCAGCTAAAGAGGCCTAATGTTTTGAACATTAAATTTGGCATGCAATTTTGGCTTAACATTTTAATCTATCTAAAGCCTGTTGACCTCTACAAACAAGATTCCTCTCACTTCTATCTTGCTTGAGAAACTTGACTGATTAGGCATTGTTTAAAAATACTTAAGGGATCAAGTAACAATATTAAAAAGACAGAAAGTGAGGAGCAAGTAGCACTAAGGTAATGGGGTAGTCTCTTTGTTGTTGTTATTTGGTAGAAAAGAACTTGAGTCTACATTGTAACTGCTCTAACTCATAGCACAGTATACTTAATGTTTTAATCAAATGTTAAGGTGCTGTTTTATGAGCCAGATGTATTTATTTGAAAAACATGCTAGTCAGGACTCCTGTTGATTTCAGTTAGAATGCTTAATGCTTTTATAAGTAGTTTTTACAAGATCAGAACTGGCTTAAATACTGTTGAAGTTTCACATTGTTAATGAATGTCTATCTGCAGTGTGTATTCCTGTTGAGGTGAACTTATTTTGCAATACGTGTTTTCTTGTCTTGTAGCATTTAATACGTAGCAGCGGGAAACTAATCCTTCTTGACAAGCTACTGATTCGTCTACGAGAACGTGGAAACAGAGTACTGATTTTCTCTCAGATGGTGAGAATGCTAGACATCCTAGCAGAGTATTTGAAGTATCGTCAGTTTCCCTTTCAGGTAAGAATTTTGCTGGTAGTAGCCAAGAAGCCTTGATGTTTTCCACTTTATCTTAAGAAAAGTGTCCTTTCTGTAGAAAGATTAATGAAAGTTTAATTTTATCTATATGAAAAGATTGGCAATTACTATATGCTAAATAGTATTTTGAGATGAAACTGATGAATTAGAAAAATGAAGTGTTACGTTGCTCTTATCTCCCCTTCCAATTGTTTTGGCAATTGAGAATTCAAGTTGCTCCAATTAGAATATATTAGGAGCTTCTTTCTGACTGTATTATTTAATCTTTTTAGAGACTTGATGGATCAATAAAAGGGGAATTGAGGAAACAAGCACTGGATCATTTTAATGCAGAAGGATCAGAGGTATGGTATTAGTGAGTGAGGGTTTTTCTATCTATTCAGCTTTATTTTTTCCCCCCCTAATAAATATAACAAATATTACACAAAAAAATGAAGATAAAGTGAGGGATGTATGATGTCGAAATTCCGTTCTTATTGCCTAGGCTATAAGGTTTACAACTCTTAACAAACAAAAAAACCAACCCACGTCCAAAAAAAAAACCCTCAAACACCAAAAAACCCCAAACAAACCCCAAAGAGTAGGTTAAATAGGAAACACAGAATTTATGAAACTGATGTTTAATATAAGTACATAGTTATATTTTTAGATTTTTGTCAGTGCTCTTTATCAAAGTAATTTTAAGTACTGTATAAAAAATGAAGAATTAAATTTATTATTACTAGGTTAATTTGGTTTAGTTAGATTTCCTACTATGGAAGCCATTCCATGCCTTTGATAATCTTAGGTCTTTTGTCCTACACTGACATGGTTTTTCAGTAATAGAGACATAGCATTTGTCAGTTGCTTTTGTTTCTGCTATGGTTGAGGAGGAAGGACAATTTCATAACAAACTTCAAATATGTGTTAAATACAGAAGTTAGTTCTGTTTTCATGTCTATACTAGAAATTTATTGCCTTTCTAGAATCCTTGTAGTTGTACAGTACAATTCTTAAGATGAGGGGGGGATCCAAACTTCACATGGCATTCAAGAATGGAGGCAAACTATGGAGTTGTGCAGCCATAAAATTGTTTCCTGTTTTATTCTCTATTCTTTTCCTAATAATCAATGAAACTTCATACTACTTTTTTTTTCCCTATTACTGTTCTAAGGTATTCATGGAAATATCTCACAGCTCCAAGGACTCATTCCTGAGCAGTAATGGCTTGCTATTACCTTTTGCTGTATTTAAAACTCAAATTTATTTCCTATTTCACTTTAATATTTTTTTTATTGCCTGCCTCATAAGATGCTTCTGTAGTCCTTTGTAGTTGTCCCTGAATAACTCCATATCATCTATGAAATTTTTCACCTAATTGTTCATTTTCATTTTCATATTGTTTATGAATATGTTGAAGAGCATTGATCCTGGCAGAACACTTGAGTTTTCTTAACAAAATAACAGAGGGACTTGGGCCCACATGAGGCTTTAACAAGGGGTTTTGCTTGGGTTTTGTTGTTTTGTTTTGTTTTTTTCCCCAAGCAGCTTTTGCTCATCTTCTAGGATGTTGCTTCCTTTAAACCATGGAGAAGTCGGTAACTGTTCACAAGAGAAATTGATATCAGTTAGCTTTATACTTATACTGGGCCTGACTGGGCTGGAGTTAATTGTCTTCACAGCAGCTTGTATGGTGCTATGTTTTAGACTTGCGACAAAAAGAACGCTAATAACACACCAGTGTGTTAGGTGTTACTGAACAGTGTTTGTATAGTGTTAAGGCCTTCTCTGTTTTCTCACTCTGCCCCCTCTGAATATATTGGAGGGTGCACAAGAGGTTGAGAGGGAACACAACCAGGCTGATGACCCAAACTTACCAAAGAGAGAGTCCATGCCATATAACATCATGCTCAGCAATAAAAAGGGAGAAGGTTTAGGGAGGTTAGCCATCTTTTGCTTGGGAACTGGCTGGCCATTGGCCCTACTCACGGGAGGTGGTGAGTGCATTACTTGTTTTGTTTCCTTTCTCTCTCCTTCCACTTCTTCTTTGCTTATTAAACAATTTTTATCTTGACCCCCACATTCCTTGCTTTTAGTCTTCCTTTTGTCTTCCCCTTGTCCTACTGGGGGTGTGGGGGAGAAATGATCAAATGTCTGCGTGGTGCTTAGTTGCCTATCTGGGTTAACCCACAACATGGTGATTGAACAGGCTTTAAACTAGAATTGATGGGGGAAGGGGATACCAACAGGAAAGTTGAGGGTAAGCCAAGCATTGACATAGCAGTATGAAAAACAAACAGGATGAACTGGAAGTGCTGGTCACCTCCCAGCGCTACAATATCATTGGTATTAGTGAGTGGTGGAATGAGTCTCTTCTGTTGACTATTTGCCCAACATAGAATGATAGTATCATTAACAGGCAGACCAGCAGCCAACCTCCTCCCTCTGCTACCACATCACACAGCAGAGATCCAAAGTGCCAGACAACCAGAGGGAGGAGCAAATCAATGCACTCACTCACTGCAAAGGATGTGCAGAAGGGAGCAAGCTGGCCAAGGAACCATGCTGCAGGAGATTGAATCAGCCAGATTATGAGTCCAATTATGTAGCAGTTTCCCAGAGAGAGACTTATGATCTTGCCCCACTATCCTGGGAGCTCCCCTTGCTATGAATAGGCAGGGGAGACCTTTCAAGAACCAGAATCCCCACACTGCAAGCAGAGTCAGTTCTTACAGAGGTGGCTTCTTGCCCCACCTCCAAGTTAATGTGGAAGGTGGGGGCACCTGGTGGTGATCTCCTCATCAGTTCCCACCCAAGGCTGGCCAGACCCTGGGTGAAAACCAATCAGGAGGGTCTTTCTTGCCTGGTTGTGGACATCATCCATATGCCAACCCTCATTCAGGGCTGGGGGTTTAAACCCCAGCACTTCAGAGTTCCACGATTGGCGTGCTGGGATGGAGGGCCACAGACTGTTCTAGAGGGATAGGCAGGGCAGGCAAGGTGGAGGAGTTGCATTATTCATGAGGGAGAGGTTTGGCTGTACCGCCCTTACAGTTAGTGATGATGTGGTTGAGAGCCTCTCAGGGAGGATTAGGGAGATGGCAGATATTGTAGTGGGTGTCTACTACTAATTGCCCATCCAGAATGTAAGTGTTGATGAGTTATTATCTAGGCAATTAGGAGAAATTTCTGGATTGGTAGTCCTTGTCCTTATGGGAGACTTCAACTTGCCAGGCATCAACTGAGAATATCATACTGAGATGAGCAGGTCTGGGAAAATCCTGAAGTATGTTGAAGGTAACTTCTTGTCACAGGTACTCAGTGAGCCATCTAGGAAAGGTGCCCTCCTAGACTTGCTATTTGTTAATAGAGAAGGGCTCATGAGAAATGTGATGGTAAGTGGCAGTCTTGGTCACAGTGGTCATGAAATGGTTAAATTCAAAAGTTACAGTGTAATAAGAAAAAAAGGGCAGCAGAGTTGCTACCCTGGACTTCAGGAGAGAAAATGCTACTCAGGGAACTATTTAGCAGAGTCCCCTGGGAATGTGCTTTTGAGGGCTTAAGAGTCCATGAGTGCTGGTCAGTCTTTAAGAACCACTTTTTAGAAGCACAGGAGCAGGCAGCTCCACTGTGTCGCAAGTCAAGCAAGTGGGGCAGAAGACCAGCTTGGCTGAACAAGGAGCTCCTCTTAGAGCTCAAGAGATAAAAGAAATGGTATGATCTCTGGAAATGGTCAGGCTTTGCAGGAAGATTACAGAGCTGTGGTTGGTATATGCAGGGAGAAGACATGAAAGACCAACGCTTAACTAGAGTTGAAACTGGCCAGTGTTGTGTGTGAGAGAAAGAAGGGCTTTTTTAAGTATGCTAATAGCAAGAGGAGGCCTAAAGAAAATGTTGGACTGATACTTGTTGAAGATGGTCACCTGACTAATAGGGATGAAGAAAAAGTAAATTCATTCAATGCTTATTTTTGCCTCGGTCTTTATTAACGGTGATAGACCGTGGACTGCCTGGTTCCCTGAGTCAGAGGACCACAAGTGTGGGAAGAGTGACTTTCCATTTGTGGGCACTGAAATTGTCAGGGACCAGCTGTATGAGCTGAATGTTCAGAAGTCCATGGGGCCTGATGGGATTCATCCCAGAGTACTGAAGGAGCTGGCAGATGTTATGGCAGGACCCATCTTAATCACCTAGCAAAGGTCTTGAGAGTCTGAGGAGGTCCCTGCTGACCAGAAGCTAGCCAATGGTATTCCCATCAACAAAAAGGGCATGAGGGAAGATCCAGGGAACTACAGACTTGTTAGCCTAACCGCAATTCCTCAAAAAATTATGGAGAAGATCACACTGGGTTCTATTGGAAGACATTTAAAGAGCAATGCGAGCATCAGGCACAGTCAACGTGGATTCGCAAAGGGAAAGTCCTGTTTAACCAATCTGATCTCTTTTGACAATAAGATCACCTGCCTGGTTTGAGTGCTGGGGTTAAACCCCCAGTCCTGAATGAGGGTTGGCATATGGATGATGTCCACAACCAGGCAAGAAAGACCCTCCTGATTTGTTTTCACCCAGGATCTGGCCAGCCTTGGGTGGGAACTGATGAGGAGATCACCACCAGGTGCCCCCCACCTTCCACATTAACTTGGAGGTGGGGCAAGAAGCCACCTCTATTAAGAACTGACTCTGCTTGCAGTGGGGTTGTGAGGCATCTTTGTATAGTGTATGGGTTGTGTGGGGATTCTGGCTCTTGAAAGGGCTCCCTGACTCTTCATAGCAAGTGGAGTTCCTGGGGCAGCAGAGTAAGATCATGAATTTTTATCTGAGACTTATGGCTTGGCTGATTCTATCTCCCATGTACTGGTTCCTTGGCCAGCCTGCTCCTGTCTTCACGTCCTTTGTGTTAATGGGTTAGTGCATTGACTTGTTCCTTCCTCTGGTTGTCTGGCACTTTGGACCTCTGCTGTGTGAGGTGGTGGTGGTGGTGGGGAGGAGTTTGGCTGCTGGTCTGCCTGCTAATGATAATATCATTCCATGTTGGGGAACTGGTTAGCAGAAGACAAGTGGATGAAGGGAAGGTGGTGGATGGAGTTTTCCTGGATTTTAGTAAGGCTTTTGATACTGTTCCTCACAGCATCCTTCTGGACAAGTTGTCAAACTGTTGGATGAGCAGGTTCATGGTGTGCTGAGTGAAGAACCGCCTGTAGGGTAGTTCTTCAAAGTGTTGTAGTGAGTGGGGCTACATCTGGTTGGCTACTGGTCACCAGAGGAGGATTGGATGATCAACTCTAGGTCTGCTCCCTACTAAGATTTTTATGTCCTCTTTCAACAAAATTAATGATTTGCTTACTTTGTTGCATAGAAAATATTAATGTATTATTTTACTCTCACATAGTAGAAAGACTGTCTTTGCAAGTATATTATCAGTCTTTCTAGGTGTCCAGAGGAGAAATAGTGGCTGAAATATAACTTGGAGAAGAAAGAAACTAAATAAAGAAAATACTAAATGGAGGGTGCAGAATATATTATTCATCTTCCTAGGTTATTTATCATTGAGTAGCTTGCAGCACAAGACTGATTGTGTCACCTACAGTGTGAAATTATTTCTATCTTTATTGAAGATAACTCATTTGGACAAACAGGGGCAGAAAAGCAAGCAGCAGCAGCAATCAGAATTGTTTTATATGCTGATTTCTATCCCCTCTGACCCATCTTTGGTGTTTCTGCCCATGAGGAAATGATCTGAAATGTTGCTCATTTTTGTCTGAAAGTTTAGCCAGTCACCAGTGGTGTTCCTTAGGGCTCAACTCTAGGGCAAATTCTGTTCAATATTTTTATCAATGATCTGGAAGGAAGAATTGAATGCACCATTAGCAAGTTTGCTGATGATACCAAACTGGGATGTGCTGTTGACTCTCTTGAGGGACAAGAGGCCTTGCATAGGGATCTGGATAGGTTAGAATTGGGCAGTCATCCATGGCATGAAATTTAATGAGAACAAATGCTGAATCCTGTGTCATGATGAGATCCGGAGAAAAGATGCATACTCCATAGGGGTTTACAGTTGAATCTCTTTTTATTGCAAAGTAATCCAGCCTTTTATAGTAGACAAGAGACAGCCTCCCGAACCCCATAGGTTAACAAGCCTGTTCACACGCCTAAGTTGAGCCACAGATTGGGAAAAATCACCGTCCATCCGCTCTGCCAGGCTTTATGTAACTCATAGAATTGTTGTACTTTTCCTTGCCAATGTTTTTCATTTTTGTCCGGGCGAGCCGCCAACAGAAGCCCCTATCTTCTAAATGTTTTGGTATTCTCCTGCTTCAAGGCCATTTCAGGGACTTTCTCGGGCCTACGAGAAACTAAGGCCTGTACTGATTGTTCATGCTAAGCAAAATGTATCACCCTGCTCTGCAAGTCACGATTCCATAATTCCCTTTTCTTTGGACAATCAGTACCCTATCAATGCTTCTATTTTTCTAGCCCGCCTTTACAAAGGTCTAACTTGACCAGGGCCCAGTTCCAGGGAGAGTCAGGAGGGTCCTTCCCCAATTAGGAAACTCTGTAAAGCGCATCCTCTTCACAGATAGACACTCCTCCCTTCCTGCAAGTGGTCCTAGTCTTTATCCCCAAACGGGACATCTGACCTCTGGTCACTTAATGCGAGACACCTGAGGCCCATTTACCTTATGGCTTTCCCTGCATGGTTGGCCACACCCTGGAGGAAAGCAAAAGGCAAATTCACCACCTCTCTTAGCATCTTAAGCATGGCATATCGAATTGCATCTACATTTCCTAATAAGCTGCTATGTGCTGCTGATGTAGCATTTGTCTGTTTTGTCCGTGCCATCCACTGCAGGGCCCTTTGCAGCAGAGACACGAGACATGGCAATATCACTAACACAGCCACAAAACTAACAATGCAGCTTCTATCAAAGTTAGCAATCATTCTGATAGTTCCCTATTTAGCTCTATATAGTTAACCTTATTACACCCAACACACAACTGGTTATAAATCTTATTCAAATACAGTTCCGAAGTATTATTGTATCAAATAATATATTCCTGGCAATATTGCAAACAATATGGACAACAAACTGGGCACAGGTTAGTGCTTGCTGTGGTCTGATTAATATATCAAAGGAATTCACACACACACCGCCACAGCCCAAAAGCTGGCTGCCAGGTCATCCTGACTGTGCAGCTGTTAATTTTCCCTTGAGATTGTTGCAATTAAGCCTTGCTATCTTTTGCTTTCAGTTCCTAGTTTATCTACTAACAACTCTACTTGTTTTTGCCTAAGTTCTTAGTTAGGCGCTTTGAACGTTCTTATCAACAGTTTCCCACGATACCAAAGCCTTCAAGTTTTGTGTGCTGCTCCTCAGTCTGCACCTTGTCTCCGATCCCCACAACCTCCCTTTTTTCTTTTATGTACTTGTACAGCTAATACTTGGGCAACCGCTCGATGAATCAATTTGTTCACACACTGAATTAAACTTGAAATACAGAGCACCATGCACACAAAAATCAACAGACACCCCAAGCCTAGCTTGTTAAGCTTCTGTGTCCAAGCATCCAGTTCTGCAAACCAGTTACCAAAACAGTCCCAAGAATTGTCCACCTGCAGCCCTTGCATTCCGTCTCTCAGTCCCTGAATACTTCAGTGGACTGATTTCAAGCGATCAGATTAATTGATTGATGGCACCGAAAAAGCAAATTGTGGTGTGTCCTTTGGACTTGAGGGTATTGTAAAACAAACGAACGAACAAAAACCTAGTCTTCTAAGTCCACCACTATAATGTCCAGTCTTGGGGGGCCATCGCAGGAGAATGCAGTAGTGGCTGCAGAGAACCGATGTCCTCTAAAACCTCACAGTTTGTGCACACAGTTCTTTCTATTTTGATTGCCGGACGGTGTACTGCATTCCAGTTAAAATCACGCTGGCAATGAGGCCCTTTTCAGAAGAAAACACAGCGGTCCTTTTCACTGTGGGTCCCGGCTCAGTCTGGTTATCACAGGGAATGCTTGTAACATTTCAACACCCCCATCGGCTGGCCCTTTTTTGCAAACAGGCGCCCCTCCGGCCGATCAGGCTCTTATTCTGGGTCAGGTTCCCAGGGGTCCTTTTCTGGGCCCCTCCCCACGGCACCGACCCATTCTTCCTTACGACTTTACTGAGATTCTACACCCCCCACGGCATCAACCAGTTCCTCCTTAAGAGTTTGCTGAGACTTTATCAGAGAAGCAGCAGACTGAGTCAAGGGAGGATTCTAAGACATTTGTGTAGTAGGAATCTCCCTTAAACTCAGCAGTTCTTAAAGAAATATGTTTTTTCAGCACTTCAAAGACAGTTTGCCAGAGACTTAAAAAGGCAATGATCATCCTGTTGTTTTGGGTGGACCAGTCTCATAAAACAGCTCACAAATCACTCCATGTTTTGGGCTTAAAAACGTTAGTGGTATTGAAATCAGGGTCTTGGTTACAGTCTCACAATAAAAGTCTCTTTAGACTGTTTTCGTCTAAAGGGCAATTATGCTTCTTGTCAGAGATTTTGCTACCGAATACGCGAGTCTAACCTGTCATTCGGTGGATGTAAGTCTGTCTCCTTCTCGGGATCTCTGGACCCTGGGTCGAAAGGGTATTCCTTGCCCCTGCTCTCCGAAGCTTTGGCTGTCAGCACTGCAGCAGCACCTGTAACCCCCTGCCTGCTTCTCATCCTCCGATGGACAGGGAGGAACAGCAGGGCTGGCCGAGAAGGGGTTCGTACTTTAAGCCTTTTTACCATCAGCTTTAAATCATAGTCTTTCCATGTAGTAGCTAAGTCCACAGCCACTGTCCAAGTCTCTGGTTTAAAAGCTAACTCAGGGTCAGGAGCATAATCTTGTATCCGGCACCATCCTAAGTTTCTTTATGGTGCCTTCGTCGCATTTCACCCTTCTCTTAGAGAGTATATGTAGCAGGATCTTTACAACCCCTCTTTCCTCCTGCCTTCCTTGCTGCAAACGCAGCAGTCACGGCCCCCTTCACCAGGTCCGCAACCATTGCCACCTGTGACTGCATTTGTGCTCTAGCCACCCGACTAATCATCTCGTCCACCTCAGCGTCTCGTGGCAACGTTGCTAGGATCTGTCTAGTTTGCCTGTTCGGATTTTTATCGGCTAATACTTTAAACATTTGCTGTTTCATACTTTCTGTTAAATCCTTGTTACCCATTAAAGCTTCCCAAAGACGATCTATGAAATGGCCATACTCCTCATTAGGGCCCTGTTTGACAGCTGTGAAGGACGGTGCTTTACTCTCATTGGGAACTGTATAAATTGCCTGATGTGCTAGCTGGGAAGACAGTTGCCACACTTCTGGAGGGTAAAGTGCCTGTACTGTTCCCATAGCATAATTACCTTTGCCTATAAGCATATCCGGATTAATCCCATCTAGTGGATCCCCTGTCTGTCGTGGCTTCTGACAATCTGCTTCCCACAATAAAAGCTGCTATGGGGGCCCCATTCTGCTTCCCACAATAAAAGCTGCGATGAGGTCGACAACAGCCTGCTCAGATTTCGACAATCACGTGGAATCATTTGCTCTGCTGTAAAAATATATGTTAATATGTGTCTAACCGCCTCAGATCGAGTCCCATATTGTGTAACTGCATTTTTTGCCTGTTGTAATAATTTCCAATCATGAGGGCGCCATTCCTACACGCCCATAATCTCATTTGTTATCACCGGACAGGCTATCGCACCTGCAGCATGCCAATTCCCTTCTATTATTGCATCCCTTATGCATCCTGACCACCGCATTCTGACCCCCAAGGATCCCTGACCACCCCTTAACACTCCCTCAGCCCCTTTTGGCGCGTAGAGAAGGGGCTTTTCCCAATCTTCTCCCGCTTGCAAACGCCGATCAACGTCACGGGCTGTCTCGTGGACACGGGCTGTCTTACAGTTGGGAGAAGGTGATCTCAGTGGCTCCGGTGGTGCTGATGGTTTCGTAGGACTGGAAAGACCTGGGTCTCTCGTTGTCAACTTCTTTAGGTGCAGCATCACATCCTCCAGCATGTCCTCAATCGCCGTCAATGTTGCTGCTCGCCCTTCCTCTGGATAGACCACCCCGCTGCTGCCGGAGCTGCCAGAGGATGATGAGGTTGTCGGCATGGCTTCTGGGGATCGGCAGCGTGGCCCTTCCTTTGGAAGTTCATGAACCGAAATGTCCTCTGTCTTGTCTGTTGATTTCTTTTTAACAGTTGTCGCCTCCAGGGCAGGGATCTCGATCTCAGAAATTACTTCTGCTACTGTTTTCTTTTGCTTCGGGATTGCTCCTCGCATAGGGGCATTCTCGGTACCTAGACCGAAGAATCTCCCTACAGTAGATGTTTTTTTTGTT